TATAATTTCGAGTATACGAGTATTTCGAGCATTTCGAGTTTTTATGTTGTAAGAAAGATTCAGGGCATGATTTAAATCAGAGATTGAAATTTTTAAATCAATTATGATCAAAGGTCCAGAGCTAACGTTATTGACTTTTCCCTCTTCTTACGTAATGGCAGCAGACTTTAGTGAAGTCAATACTAGGAAAAACAAGGGGTAGGTTGAATATTTTTAAACGAGATAATTTAAGAATTAAGTTACGCAGTTTTATACTAATTGTTAACGAAACTGCATCAGCCATCAAATTAATTAAAATCGTACTTTTGTGTAATCAGAACCTGTGACTTTGTTTTTGAAAAATCATTTATATTTGTAAAATTAAGAAGTATAAAAGATAATAAAACATATCTAATTAATAATTTCTTGCAAAACTTTTGTACATATTCATAGTCTAATTGTTATCTTTAAATTTATGGGCCATGTTTGTATTCTGATTACGTCGTATGCTGTATATTATAGAGAGATGTGTAAGAGCTTCCTCGTACCGATGTTGATTTATTAGACAACAGCCCTGATTCCTATTGTTCAATGATTTCATTGTTCCTCTCAGAGTTTGGATTCTAACCATCGTTTTAGGATGTTGAAAATGTTAATTGCTAGAGGAAGACTAATTGGCATTTTGAATCAAGTTCAACCCTTGAGGGTATAAACAAAATCCTCTCGTTTATTCTAAGATTTTATACACATTGATAAGTCTCATTCGTTAATTTCACACATTAGAGAAATAAAGATATTATTGACAATATTCCTCCACCTCTGACGAAACCTTAACAGCCTTAGTCTTTTGTTTCAAAATATTCCTTATTCGAAATTATTTATATCATGCCATGAAACTTTTTCATAACACAAGAAACAGAAGAGATGTTTGGGTTGCCTTGTTTAACTGAGACACCCCGTAGAAGGGATCAATTCCCCCGAATGTTGCAAATGTACGGGACGTGCATGCGGTAAGATATTCGATGAACAAGCCAGGCCCGCAAGAAATTCGTGGCATCCTAAAAATATGACTCAGCCGACAATGGAATCTCGTCATCGACCCGTCCATCCCCCGACGACGGGCAACCGCGTCTGCGATACGAGGCGAGCAAGCAAGCAGGCGAGCAACCGGCAGCAGCAGCAAACGGCAAGAAGCGAGATTGATGGTCTCCAGCGGATGTCTCTACCGGGCTGTCCCGTTCGAGTGGCATTAAGCCGGCCCCGCGTTGCCCTTGGCATTTATATTCATCGGCAAGTTTGATTGTGCGCCACGGAATAGCTTCGAAACGTCACCGACGACGATGGGATAGCGGAGCCTCGAAGAAGATATCGGGATCGGAAACGGAGAAGGCGGGGCAGTAATGGAATAGGCAAATCCTCGCGGCACTCCATCCTCGGCGAGCCGAATCGAGCCCGCGTCCGCGGGGCACTCGAGGTTATAGCCGAGCTTTTATTTCCCGAAGCATCGATCTCCATAAAGTTCCGGCCCCGGCCTTCGAGCGACCTCCTTCAGGAGGATCGTTCACGATCCGCACGCGCATCGCCCGAGTTCAACCGAGAATCTTGCTCGGTCAACGTTTAATTGCACGCCCCCGTTCGATTCCCCTTTCGAACGGTTCCCGCGAAAGTAATCGTTACGCGTTTCGAGGAGAATGAACAGACTGATTAAACGTCGTTTTACCTCGGAAATGATCTAGAATCGTTTACGTAAAATGTATCATCGTAGCGAAATATTTCCGAAAATGTATGTAGTTGGATTTTTAGCTTTTTCATTTATTTGACCTCGTTAAGATGTAGTAAAAATTTCGACGCAATCTTTATGGATTTAAATTAAATCGCATTCAAATTATTTACGACTGCTGAACTGTCAATGTAGAAAAATATTTAAAACGTTTATAATCAGTAGATTTTCCACTCGTTCGATCTATTAACTTGTCGCACACATGCATGCCGATAGGATCGGGAATCGTTCTGATTAGCTGTATAGAATATCACAATTTGTTAATGATTACTATTGAATGGAGGTAATGATATTGCAACAGAACGCGAAGCAGAGAGGTTCGCGGTCCGGTAATCGCAATTCCATCTTTGAACGATCGAATGGCTCGACTTGCTCTCGGTAGACATTGTTGGGAAGCGTGAAAGCGGCCGTAAAGAACGGAGGGCGCCGACGAATCCGAGAACTTTGCTCCGCGGCAAATCGACTTGTCACAAAATCCTATTGCCGCCTCCTGCATGTTTCCAGCGTTCTTCTCGTTTTTCCCTTAGTCCTCCCACCGTTCCGTCCCGTCCGTTCTGAAACCCGATAAAACCTCGTTCGACGGCGTGCTCAAATTTTCGAGACGCTTAGCCCCGTGATTCCTCCGAGCCGAATCCGATTTTCCACAATGAATGCAGACTCTTATTCGCCATGATTATTTCTTGCTTACACGTGAAATTACAAGTTACGATCTTATTTGAAAAATCGATATCGATCTGAAACGTGATTCAACATCGATACGTGTGAAAGCGTGTTGGAAGGTGTTAAATGATGTTTCATTCTCCAGCCCTCTAATTCCGCAAGGGGCAATCTTTTCTCGTCGTAGAAAAAAATCGCACGCGCGATCAACGATGCGGAGGGAGATCGGGCTCCCGGGCAGGCAATAATGAAGGTTGGCTTTAATTGAATCCTTCCCAGGAAGTTCATAGAAGGCGTTAAACAAACTATCGGCATGCCGGCCACGTGGGAGTACGCGTTCGACGCTGGATCCCCTATAAATCCTTTTCTTTCCTCGCGCAAAACTCAACCTTCTATCTCCCGCTCTGACCTCCTTCCATTCGCCGAGTTCTCTTCTTTTTTTTTTCCCCTCCTTCTCGTTCGGTTGTACCCTGGCCGAGCTGCGACTGCCGAGGGCTTCCTGTCGGGAATTTCCGACTTAGCTTAAGAGCTAATAGCACAGCTAGGAAAGCTACGATTTTCCTTGCTACAACTGACCCAGCTATCTTCTTTCTCTCTCTCTCTCTTTCTCTCGATTCCTTGACAGATAATCGTTCTCCCGACTCAATTAATTCCTATCTTCGATCAAACGACTTTCCACGGTGAGATCAGATAGAGACAGAGCGACGCATTCAAGTATGATAAATTGATCGAGACGATTGGAGAGATCCTTAACGGGTAGACTACGATAGCTGCGCGATAAGGCAAAATGTCAATGTTACCCAATTGTTGAATTATGATTAAACTGGCTAAAAATATTATATGAATGTAATGATAATAAAAAATGAATATGGTTTACGCCATTCGATTCTTTCAATCATTCGTTGATCGATCATAAACGAAAACTGAATTATGGACTTTCTCAAATTCACATCCTCTCGGGTTTAAACGTATTTTCACCCATTTCTCACGAAGATTTCATTCCAACGTATTTTAAATTACATCTTATGAGAAACTTAACGCTCTTTATATAAGGCATTTGA